AAAACCTTTGATCAAACTTTTAAAAACAGAAATAAGGTAATTTGGAAAAAAAATAAGCTCAAACGAACACTAACCTCCTGTAGTCGTTACTCGCTCAGATACTTCTTTCTGCGGTTCTCCATTGCTGATATGATCACCTGCATTCTCCTTCGCGGAGGCGTCGACAGGCGGTGAGGCTTCAGTTTTCTTTTCCTTGCTGTAGCCTTCTAGATACGAAAAAAATGATTCAAAGAAGGTAACCGTGTTAAAAGAAAAGTATTATGAGTATTTTGCTATCAATATAATTTTCTTCGCTCATTGATTCAATGGACATAGGCTTCAAATAGAATACAATGAAAATACAATTACAATACTACATTCATGTAACAAGAGGGCTTAACTCGTTTTTAGGCTTATTAATCAACGATTTTGTTTCAGGAAGGACACTATTCCACTTAGAATATGATCTTTTGTTTACTCATTGCGTCTTTTCGCGGTGGATTTTAATCCTATTGGCGCAAACAATGCAGTGTATTCCACAAGTAAAAAAGAATACAATTTTTTCTAGAAAAAGATGGTGGAAATTTGAAACATAAATGTGACAACGTAATTATGACTATCCCCAGACACCGTATACGATTGTAGCGCACGTAAAGTTTACTGTAAACTATCAATTACAGTGTCTATTCTATCATATTCTTCTGCAAAAAGATAGTTGTACCGTATATGTGCACCTCTAACCCGCGATTACTAGCAGTGGAACAATGACAACTAACTGATAGATGATAGCCACAATCAACTGATACGCATACTCCATGCTAACATAATACTTGCTTTGGAAGGTATCAGGATAATATCCGATTGCTGAACTATGAAATGTTGGTTACCGTCGACTTATGCTACTGTGGGTTACCAAAAAACAATAACAGACCATTTTGACCTTGCTGCAACAGAAACAGTTTCAAAAAAGAGGACTTGAAATGTTATTAGTATCTATTTTAACCTTATACACATAAAACTAAATACGTTTTAGAAAATAAGAATTTGTTAGATCCTGTTATAGAGAACCTTATATAGATAAGAGAGACATGATGACATTCTCGTTTTTTGCAGTGCGGGTCCAAATTTGATATTGAGCAAATCTTTACCCACCTCCAGCAGCCTTTTTCGCAGGTGGCGTTTCTTCGTCTTCGTCATCGTACAGTGAAACAGCAGCAGATTTGCGTTTCCCCGGGGCTTCAGTCATAGTCCTAGAAACTCGCCCAGCTATAAAATTGCAGCAGTTTCACGCGCTTTCAATGAATCCT